ATTTTAAAGTAATTATATCAATCATGAAGCAACATCATTTTTCCAAAACCTGAAGGGGGAAATTTTTCAATTAATTTTTGTTTGTTCCAATTTATGAATTTTATTTTGTTTGTCTATTACTATTTGTTACTATTTTCATGTAACTCTTTTTTTATAAATATGTAAATGTAAATTAATTCAATAAATAATGTTAATTTAAAATTTACATTGATTGTTTTCTATTCAGAATGGGGGGGGTAATATCGACTTACGCAATAATATTTTTGGGTAATGGTTAAAAAAGTTCCCCGACCGCTGATCTACATGGATGTATTTAAATAAATATGGACCTAATGATTATTATTTATCAATCAATCTTCAATTTATAATGTTTAAGTTTATATACTGAACTACATATTGGTGCTGTTGACAATGTCAATTTGACAAGTTATAAACTAATCTTACCTATCAATAATCAATCTTACAATAGTCAATTAATTATTTAACAATTAATTAAAATTTAATTAACTTTCAGATGAATATTTGCATTTAATAAGCACGAATACCATTATCATTATTATCATTAGTATTATACAGCAGCGGTCCCCAACCTTTTTGACCTCACGGACCACTAAACTCCAAATATTAAATATCGCGGACCACTAAACTCAAAATTTCTAATCCTGTGGACCACTACAAGGACTTTTTTTTAAATAAGATTCTAAATATGAAATAGTATTTACATTGGGCCTTTTATAAAAACGTAAATAACCTCTCGACCATGGAAAGTCCATTTGATCCGCGGACCGGGAAGACCACTGTTCTACAGCACTCAGAAATACTCATCCTTGCGGCAATGCTTTAAGTTTATGCGAATAATAATAAATGTGTTATTGCAGATATACATATAAAATATATTCGTATCAAGTTTAATTAATTCATGAGAAATGCGGTTTCTTTATATGCAAATATTATGAAAATGTCTATTTGTGAACAAAAGAAAAGTAAAAGAATAATGGTAAGGTCCTAATGGCTTCGGAGAGTTGAAAAACTGGTTCCGAGGTGCACTCTTGTTTTGCACATCTTCAATCTCGGTGATGACTCTGTGCAAGATGTTGGGATTTCTTATGCTGCTCATCGCGGCGAGTAAATCGCAAATCCACTTCAACGGTAAATATAATTAATTCAACGATAAATTGAATTTATAACCAATTTAATTATTGCAAACAAAGAGGAGAAAGCACCTTGCGACATCACTTACAGCGATCTCCACTGCATCCACATCAATAAATGTCCAGAAGCGCTTTCTGGGATCCGAAGAGGAATATTCCCGAAACCATGCGGATTTGAAGGGAAGATGCCCTTGGTTTGCTGCAACGAATTAACCAAACCGGGCAAAAGAAGTATCAGGCGTAAGTAAAAAAAAAAACTTGTGTGTTGAATGAATGAATAATTGCTAAAATCGATGTTTCAGAATGCGATCATACCTATGAGAAGGTGAAAATTGATGGTGAAGGTACGATCAAGTATACGGCTTTGGTCCTTCCGAAGCAAACTCTATCGGAGCAGTATCCGCACATGGTACGTTCTCAATGACAATTGCTTGTAGATATTCCGTCGTATATTATTAGAATTAATGTGAAATAATAAATGAAGTATTAATCCTCTGAGTAGTTTCGTTATGGTAATGAAATTACGACAGATGGCGCTCGCAATAGCTCTTTGTAGCCCACTTGAAGATTCCTCTGCAATAATTGGTTCAAAAACACCATTATTATTTATCGCTTCGTGGCTTTATGAGCTATGATCAAAGTGTAGTATCTGTTCTGATCAGTATAAAAATTGATCGGCCCACATTGTGGGTTCATATTTTTATTCTGATTTTTGGAATTCGGTGAGGAATTAGAGCTTGCTCTGTCCTTATCAATGGTTGTCCCAGTATTGCAGTGACTCTGGGTACGGCCTATTTAATTTAACTCAAACACAATATAATTTATATTAGTTTATTTACTAATTGTTAAAATATAATATTTGTTTTTATTTATATTAATTGTTAATTAATTAAATATATTATATTATTACACTTTTTTTGGTATTTTTAATAATTGTTATTTTATAAGAGTTTCAAAAACTTAACCTATTTATTTACCTATTCATAAAGAAAGTTAACAATAAATAATAATTATGATGTATAACAGTAATTTTCCAATAGTTTGTACAATTTTTTAATTATATTATTTTACCAAGTCCAAAAAACTATAACTGTATACGTTTAATGAAAGAGATTTTTTTATAGACCATTGTCATAATTTGATAATCTATTAAAAAAAAAATGTTAGAAATTATCAAATTATGATTTAGTATATTAATTTTAGGTTTCACTGGGTAGTAAAAATTCCTATAGAAAGGATGGTAGATCGGTGAGTTGGATGTGTAGCGGTAGTTTGATCAGCGAAAAATTCGTCTTGACTACGGCCCACTGCATCGAAGATCCAAAGTAAATATATTATACACTAATTAATCACTAATGGTAACATCTACAAAACACAATTTGTTTTACAGCGAAATCATAAACGTTGCGATTTTGGGTGATCTAGACTCGGTAGGAAAACCGAATTGTAACTCTCAAGAGTACAGAATTATCAGAAAAGTGGTCCATCCGGATTTCCGAGCTCCATACAGATACAACGATTTGGCGGTTGTAGAACTGGAGAGACCTGTGGAAGTGACGAAGTACGTGAAACCTGCATGTCTTCAGACGCGGTACGATATTGCGGACGCCTGGTGGGAGACCAGCGGATACCAAAATCAACGTCTATACAATATGCGTCTCTATGAAAGCACTTTGTTTAACTGCGATAATTACTTCAAATCAAAACGATTTTCCACTTTCCTACCAAAAGGTGTTAATTATACGACGCAATTCTGCGCTCAGAAATCATCAGAGGAGACTCAGATTCAGGTTGTTAATAATGTTCATCAGTTTGTAGTTGGGTGTTTAGATTTATGATTTATTTGCAGGAAGGAACTGGAGGACCACTGCAAACCATTAATTGGCATTATTTGGATGGATGGACTGTAATAGGTGTGACAGTGATTGATGCCGTCAAGGGTATCGGATTGTATACTAGATTATCTCATTATATTCCATGGATTGAATCCGTTGTTTGGCCATGAGATATCTAAGATTCAATTAACATTTATTTTCTAATTACTTAGTACATTTACAGCTCAAATTAAGCGCAAAATAAGTAACATGTAAATGTAAATAATAAACAATAATTCTTACAATTAGTTTCTTATAATATGAACAAATAAACATTAAAAGGGCAGAAAGACCCATCAATACACTTTTGGAGCAGTTTAATTTGATTTTGTTTTTGATATTATAAATATTATTATTATTTTTATTACTTTCAAACTTTTTCTTGTTTCAATTTGATAGGCAACCAAACTTTCGTTATTTATTACTACGAGTTCACGTATATTTAAATCAAGAAAAAGAACATCTTCTAAATAAACTCAATGTTTTATTAAAAAGTTTTTAAATATTTTCTATTACAAATAATTTATTTGTATCAAGATCAATTTTTATTCATTAGGCAACCAAACTTTCCCTATTTTCTCGCATGTGGTTAATATAGGTTATGTTTTGAAGTAAGCAAGCGTAAGAGTAACTAGTAACAAAAACGCGTACTTAGTGTACATATCTATTTTCTACAGTGTTTAAATTTTGTTTTTATTGGTTCTATTACATGTAAGTATATTTAATTATTATTAATTAAGGAATTACTATATAGTATTTTCTGCAATTTTGCACTTAAATAATGAATGTAACAACAGCTTGGTGAATCAAAACTAATTATAATTTGTTGTAGTATTCAACATGACTACATCTTTAGCACAGCAGTTGCTGCAATTGCAAGTGCCACAAACCTCTTTGGAGATTGGCAAAAAGAAGAGGGCTTCTCTGTTGTTTGATCCGAAAGAAGCAGCAAACATATCCAAAGAGATATTCTTTGAGTTGGGACTTGATGGCTTCGAGGAACTTAAGAACAAGAATCCACAGTTTGCTATATTTGAATCCACATTGTTTCACATCTCCTCCAAGGATTTTGAAAGGACATTGAAAACAGCCTCAGAGAATGAGACTTTGGACAGTATTATAAGGAAATTCTTCTACCATCTATCACCATACTTTTTACTGTCATGCTCACACAAGGCCCTCGAATGGCTTATATACAGATATTACATTCACCAATTTAACAAAGAGGATTTCTTGATGCTTATATTGCCATACCATGAGACGAATATCTTCGTGAGGGCATTGCAAACGATGAAGTTCAAGGAAGGCGAGAAATTCGCATGGTTGAAGCCGTTGCAGAGCACCGGCGTTCAGTTGCCGAAGAGCACATTGTATGGCCATGCGGCGAGTCAACAGTATTTCTTGAATTTCGTTTCCACAAATATTATTAACGCAGTGAAGGAAGTCCAAAAGCCGTCGACGTTAACGGTGATGTTCAATTTCTATTGCACGGTTTTCACTGGCGCTTTGGATGTTTGCGACAATATACAGGAAACGCATATCTCGCAAATGATTCCCGCAATTACCAAAGGATTGAAGTCTGAAATCCCAGATTTTTGTGCCTCTTCTTACATTATTCTATCAAAGATGCTGACTAACGTTACACTGTCTGAGAAGATTTTGGACTCTGTAGTGCAGAGATTGACTAATTGCAATGTTTCCACGTTGAACAACGAATCTGTTTTGGCGTTGGTTATTTTGTATCAATCTCAAGAGGAGTACACAACGATGCCTATCGCGGCAATTAAGAAATGGACGCAAAAGGTTTGGGTTCCAAAGACTTTGCAGAGGTTGAGTGATCAAGGATATCTGATTCAACCACTGCTACTTGCACTCTTCAATGGAAGCATTCCATTAGCTATGGAAGAGGTCTCAACTGATTCATGCAGGACGTTTGTTGATAACCTTATGAATGAACTAAAACTTGATGATTCTATTGCACAACAAGTTTTTAAGTAAGTTTTTTTAAAATTATTAATAACAACATTTTTGTCTTTATAATTATGGAAATGTAATATTTATATTAATTAATTTGTTTTAGTATATTACTGGATTCATATGATACTGAAACAATGTATGAGCCTGAGAACAAAGTTTGGATGAGCAAATTGCTGGAGACTATTGATAAACAGAATCCGTGCGCATTCGACAAAGAAATCAGTAATTTGATGGCGAAAAGCGATGGCAATACATCGAAGCAATTGGCGCTGAAGTTGATCATGAATTCTATGGAGGGAAAGAACGGAGGTTTGGACTTCGAGAAGCTTTATCATCCTTCAGCTGAAATCCGCAAAATGGCAATCAACAGTATGGTGAAGAAGTTCGATCAGCTAAAAGACAGGCAAAGGGAGGCAATCCAGGATTCGCTTCTTGATCGATTACAGGACATAGACTCGAGCGTCGTCAATGAAACTTTAAAGATTCAAGGTCTGTCTGAGATAATAGGCGAGCAACAGTTTATAAAGATTTTAATCTCTGTATTAACGAAGAAATATGCTGAAGTCAACAGCGAATTAATATCGACCGCTTTGGGATTGCTTTGCAAGTACAATCCGGATGAGAATGTTCAAGTATTTTTAACGATTCTGGCTTTCTTCTTGCCGATGACCACCGAAGATGTAAAGTACTTGCAGATATTAAAGACGAATCTAACGAAATCGAAGTGCTTCAAACCTCTGCTACAACAGCTGAAAAACGATTCAAACCCAGAGAACATTTCCAATACTGTGCATAAGTATTTATCCGAAAATAAATTGAATATCGATTGCGGAAAATTGCTGGAAACAATGCAATCTGTAAATTTAGAACGAGCCATCCATAAATATTTGGCCATGTTAGTTTTGAGCAATTCAATGGACGAAGCCAAGGCCGAAGACAATTACAAAGTTCTTCAAATCTTCTTCAGTTACTTTAACGGACTCAAAGTAAAGACGAGCAAGAAAATCCTTAACTGCGCCTTCAACGATAAATTACCTTTGGACGGATTTCTGTTGTGCCTCAACAAACTAATGATTAAAACCGAGAAGATCTCCAAGATCAGCTTATTGGACTTTTATACGGAATCTGATGATAACAAGTTCGTTATACTTCTCTTAGAATTCTTGCTGATGGGCGCTTTCCATCCGGCTCAATCCAAAGCGTACGAGACTAGTTTCAAACTGTTTTTGAACCATTTCTGCGTCGATTCAAACGAAAAAACTGGTTTACTGTTGAACCTCTCGACGGCCGACTCGAAACTATTGAATAACAGCACGAAATTGAGAAGTCTGAAGTGCGTTTCCGTAATTCTGACTAACAGCAAATTGGATTTAAACTCGCTGATCGCTTTGGACAAAGTAACGGTTCCATATTTACTAGTGGGATTGCAAAATGAGTTTCCGGAAATTAGAAATCAAGTGTTCGATATCTTGGAAACATTTTTGACTTGCAAGAAAGAGAATTATCATGATTTGATCACTGGATTGATCAATAGGAAGGAGGAAATATTCACCGATAATGAGCAATTGCCTTTTGCTGTTAATATCATATTAAATGAGAAGAAGAAAGTGAAGATTTTGGATGCTTTATTGAATATTTGCGGAGGTGTATATCCCATCTATTTGAAGTCCGGTATGGTAAAGGCGTTATCATCATTTGAAGAAATCAAGGTTTACGATCAAATTGCGAAGATCGGTATTGATATTTTGGACGGATCGGATTGGAACTCGCAGAATTGCAAGATCATCTCGGAGAGTATAAAGCAATTTGGTGAAGTTTTAGCTAAGCGAATTGACGCGAAGAGTGTGTCTTGGGAGTACATTCAAAAGGTGTTGAAAAACGATAAGATGTGTTTGATTCACGACGATGAAGAGTTCGATGAGATTCCTCCAACGATTATGTTGATGAAGCGCATTAATAAAGAGGTATTTGAGAATCTCAAAGATGAAGTGAAGAAAACCCTGTTGGCAATTATTATAGATATGTCGACGCATTCATCCAACACTTCGTTGCCTTCTGCAGCTGGTAAATTATTTAAACATATCGATTTGGATGCCGTGCTAGTGTTGGATATACTGCAGAAAATGAGGGATGCTCAATCACCAAAGATGAACGAAGCCAAGTTGAAGAGGCGCGTTAACATCACACCGACAATTGATATTTTGGACACGAGCGTTTGGAAGTACGGAATAACGATGCTGGAGTTCATCCAGGACAAGAAGAAGATGAGAAACGCTGATAAACTGATTCCTGTTCTCTTTGATATTTTGAAAAAGTGCTTGGAATTCGAGGAACAGGCAAGTCTCGAGTACACCAAGCAGCTTGTATTATCGACGATTTTGCACTATTGCCATAAATTGAATGTGTCCGATGTGCCAAAGAGTGTATTCAATATGGAATTGGTGGTGCAATGCATCAGAGCTTCGCAGAATCCTCAGACCCATCATCACGCGTTACTTCTTCTGGCACACACCGCCAAGTTTCTACCGGATCATGTGTTGCAGCATACAATTGCAATTTTCACCTTCATGGGATCTTCCGTTTTACGTCACGATGATTCTTACAGTTTCCAAATTATCAACAAGACCATCGAAACTGTTATTCCGATTTTGACGGCTGAAGGAACTGATGCTGATTATCTCAATGTGCTGCGCGTCTTCGCCGGAGCGTTTATGGATGTCCCTGAGCATAGGAGATTCCCATTATACAAAGCGTTCCTGGAACAAATCGGCCTTAAGGATAAACTGCACGTTTTCCTGCTGCTGATTTGCGAGCACATCGTAAAATTCGCTCATAACAAGGATAAAAAATCGCCTCGATTGGAGAACGCGACCAATCTGTGTCTGCTCTTCCCGCTGGAGGTAATCTTCCACGCTTGCTGCGAAATCTTGAATTACATAAAGAATATTCCTGAATTGAAAGATGAAGCAGTTTCCGAGAAGAATGTGCATTTGATTCCAATTGATCATTTGTCGGAGAAGGAGTTCAGACATTACAGATACACCGCCCTGCAATTTGTATCCGGACTTCTTGTAAATCCACGATTAGTTAGTATGGTGGCTTCCGTTGAGGGAGAATCTCTGTTGGAATTGGAGCCCATCTTCAAGCAAAGTATTGTTTACGTCTTGTCCATCATCCAAAAGACAACGCAGATTTCCACCGAGCATCCATACAATATGTTAACAAAGTATTGGAAATTCACTTTGCATCTTTTGTACGATGTGCTGGATGGAATCAACGCTCTATTAACCGTTGACATGTTCCTACTGGTAATCAAAGGTTTGATAACGCACAGCTTCTTCAACGTGAGAAAGCGAGCATTGGAGCTACTCAACTCGAAACTGACGCATTCGCCGGAGTATTTCGCCGAGTGCAAGGATGACGATATGTGCGCAATGCTTGGACCGATCGTCGGCATTTTCAAGATTCTCCAAGAAGAAAACTTAGACAGCGAGCAAGAGATGTCCGTGCAACTCGCTCTGATTTCCATCAAGCTATTCGCAAGATATCTGTGCGAGACGAAGACGGAGAACTTCGAGACCATCCTCGACCTCGTCACCGATATCATAAAATCGAATGATTCACCGAACATCCTCGCCTGCGCTTTGCTTTGCTACGGAGATCTCTGCACACACCTCAAAGCCAAAGCTATCACGACGTTGGAGAGATCTATGAATGTTATTATTAAGGTAATTATGTTGCACAAGAACAATCCGCCAGGCACCCCACCCTCGATGTTACTATTGAGTACTATGACGGCCTTGAGTAAAATAATGGAGACCTTGTATCTCTTCCTGAACCCGTACATCGAAAGACTGTTGTTTGCGCTCACCTCCATTGGAGGCACCTGGGCAGTACACGACACCGATCCGAAGGTGATCCAACTCTACGCGAAACTTACAATCATAAAGAAGAAAATGTCATCCATCCCAATGCGTTCACTTATATCAGGCGTGGAATCCTGCTTCCTGTTACTCGTGGCCAACGACAAGTTGGAGGGCGTCGGCATGTTAATGGAAATCCTATCCGATGGACTGCAAATTATTTCCAACTCGGAGATGAAGTCGGTCGTGTCCGAACTCACCGAGTTCTTCCTGACAGCTTTGGCGTACCGAGAGGTTGTGCGACCGGATGTGATTTTCTTCGATGTCGAAGGATCTGTACTGGATGCTCTCATGCAATTGGTTCTTAAGATGTCCGAATCTTCGTTCAGACCCATCTTCTACCAGATATTCGATTGGGCTTGCCACGACTCTGAGGACACTGAACGAATCATCACCTTCTATCGGATGGCCTACAAAATTGCTGATAATCTCAAAGGGTTGTTCGCCCTCTTTGTCGGACATTTCCTGCAGAACGCCGCAACTCTCCTCGACGCCTGCCATTCCAAGAAGTCGAGCTTGTATTACAACGAAGAGAATAAAGTTATTCGATTGGTAGAGAATATCCTGGAGACGATAAACTCTGTCTGTATATACGATTTCAGGCATTTCATGCGTGTACGTTTCGATATAATGTGCCAGCCGCTGGTCGATCAATTGGAGAACGAAATCGGTGATATGAATGGCAGATGCACGGAGGTTGTGATTCCTGCTATTGTGAACTTCACCGTCGCCGTTGCCGACGAGGCCCTCTGGAAACAACTTATCTACCAGATTTTGTTGAAGATGCGCAACCCGAAACCTCAGATCCGTTCCATCTCTTTGATCTGCTTGCGCGACATCGTCAAGAAGTTGGGTGAAGAATTCCTGCCGCTGCTTCCCGAAACCATACCATTCCTAGCAGAGTTGTTGGAGGACGAAGAGGAGAGCGTCGAGAAGCTGTGCCAGAAGGTCGTCCAAGAAATGGAAGTTGTTCTCGGGGAACCCATCCAGAAATATTTTTAAACAAAATTTTTCATAAAAGAAATAAATATACGTTTACTGTTACAATTTGTATATACCATTTCCATACCATAATCTAATCCGAGATAAATGTATTTCTAGTTTTATAATTGGTTTTACATATTAAATTATATATATTTGCGATTTTATCCATAAAATTGTGAAATTCTATAAATCTTTTTATTATTAATTCTATACATAAATAATTTGTATAGAAGATAAAAATAAATATGAAATTTTATGATTTGTTTTTCATTTCTTTTATATTCATTCAATTATTATATTCATCTTTAAATATAGAAATATCAATATTTATTTTTATAATTAGATTACATTTTTAATATAAAAATAATTTACATTACATAATTTCATATACGTGATTCAATTTATATTTTAAATTAAAAAAATTATATCAATTTATTATTGATATACAGTGAAACCTCGCTTAACAAGTTTAATCCGTTCCAAAATTTCCGGATTTTTACTCGTATAGTGAAACACGTTTTCCCATATAAACGGAAAAAAAGTATAACTTGGTCTCGATTTTTAATGATTTTGCTTTTCATATCTTTATTCTTTTTATTCATAGACATGTTAAATTTTGCACAAAAAAATCACAAGTTTGGAAATTTTGTGATCACAAACAAAACTAAGATGCAACTAGAATGAGCACTAATACTAGGAACTGTTTTCCAGTTTATATTACTTGTATCAATTCGGATACTTGTTGGAAATCTCTTTATACTTTTAATATTTGTTTATATAAAAAAGCGTTTATATATTATAATTATGGTTGGACAAAATACATTTGTGTTTTGCATTTATAGCAATATATTTGCTTCTCTTCTCATCGTCACTCGTTATGCGAAACGTCGCGCGTTAGCGAAATGTTCGTTATGCGAGGTTCCACTGTAAATCTCTTTTAGCCCTATTTCTACTCCTTTCGGGTTTATCAGCTTCCACAAACTTTTTGTATCAGATTTTCGTGATACATGCGACCATAGCCAGGCATGATTCAATTTATATTATAAAGTTAACTGTCAGGTATACCAACACATTTTATATATTCATCCAAAAAGATTAGGTTGGTAGTCCGATGACATTGAAGCTGCAACTATATTTATACTAATTTTTCAAATTTTTAAAAAGTATATAAAGAAATCTTTTATTTTATTACGCATACGACCCTATTTGAAGTCCCCCAAAACAGAACAACTTATAAATCTACCAAAATGAATTTACTAATTCAAATTGATGATTCTAATGCACGTTCCAGGCTAAAAATAAATAACTTTTATCAATGTCCTCCTACTTTGGACAACTTTCAAAACTCACTCGTTTCTGTTGCTTTTATCTCTTCTAACCATACGCATTTTCCTTTGCCGATCACAAGAGCTTGAACATTTCAGCTGGCATTTTCTCAATTATTCTATTTCTCTCGATGTAAAATAAGAGACGCGGAGGTAGGATAATTAAGAGGACGCTCGTGTCAACTGCGAGACCATCGACTAAGAATAGATCTCGAGCAAATTTGGGACAGTCCAGAGAAGATAATCTCTTTTATTTCCGTAAAGACGAGACACGTTCCTCTTATAAATGAAGAATATTCGCGAAGGACATATAAAAACAAAGCAGTTTAATATGCATATATCCTTGGAGATGTTATAAATTTGAAAGACAAGACACGTTGATTCCTAATTTGATGATTTCCGAAGGACGAATAAAAACAAAGTGGTTGGTGTTTATTTAATATACATATATTTGGGGTTTCAATAAATATTTTCTTGTTGTTAATTCATAATTTGTATAAAGAGCATTATTATTATTTGTTTTCATTCGGTTTCGACAAGCGCTCGAAGCTCAGCTCTCCAACGCCTCCTCCCACCCAACAGACAAACAAACAAATAAATAAAACAACAACAATTGACCGACATTTCTCTCGTTAATTTTTTTTTTTTTGGAATACGATGTAATCTTATAAATTATTCAAATAGTATAGACCGTTGCTTATATAATAGGAGCGAAATGGCATCTGCAGCAGTTCAATTCAACTACGTTCGAGGATCAAGGCAGATCGCACGTGCGCTCCACCGAAATCGTGCCGAGTTCCTCTTCAGTGTACAACGCCGTTTTCCTGTAAAAATATCTAAAATCAAATTTTAATTTTTCATTTCGAAAAGCGGATGGTAAAAGTTTGGGTTTCGATTTGGATTGCGTTAATTAAATTTTAAAGAAAACGTTACCTCTTCTTGTATTTGTAAATAACAAATACTATAATAGAATTTATAACAAACAGTGCTAGGATGATTATGGAGGGGACCACGACATCTGCAAAAGAAAAAAATGAAATTATTTTAGTTCAATCTTTGTTTTGTTATGATTTTGAAAACAGTTTTTTTTTTTTGTTATTGATTAAGTTTAAATTTAAAAAAGAATAGTGTTGTATCTCACCGGAAAGGCTTTCTTCGGTCATCTTGCCTGTCGAAGGTTGTTTGGTTTCTCTGGAGAATAGGTCCTTGGTTTGATCTGGAAATTAGGGTAGAAATTTGCGAGTGAGTATAAGGCCGTGCGGATCTATTGATTTTTTCTTTGAAAAGCACATGTGCGACCCTACATAACCTGAAGCGTCTGACTCGGTCTGGATGCGTGGAAAATGTTACTAAAAAAGAGTCGCGGCCTCGCGCTAATCAGTTACAAAACATCGTAGGAGCTGATGAGCAAACGCTTTACAACAACAGAAACCTTATCAACAATTTGTACGATGTTTCGATTATCTATGAAGCCCACACGCGTTCAAAAAAAAAAACAAGATCTATTTGCATTGTATTTCTCGAATGGAAATGGATCTTGTGCTTCGTTATAATTTTGATATTTCGAGGGGGATATTTCTGCTGCACATGCAAACGGACCAACGCGAAACTCTGGTACGCATCGAGTCGCGCGCGGTATCAAAATAAAACGGCCACTTCCGCTTCCGGTCAGCGCAACCGTCTATCCACGTGACTCATTCAAATTTGCGAATACAAAAATTACATTCCCTATCCAATTTAGTAACTATTCCGAATTGCAATATATGAAAAAACGATTGCGATTACAAAAACGATTGCAAACTGCGATTTAGAAAACGTTAATCAGCGCTATAATTGTATATCTGATAATTGCAGCGAGCGACCTTCGATCTGCGCCGTTCCTAGCGGAATATATCACACAATAACAGTATTTTTTAAACACGGAAATAATGAAATGTTGATGAATTGACGAAATGAACTTACTTCTTGCAGAAGGTAGCGACAACTGTCTCTCGGTGTAATTATCGCGATGAGGTCGTTAAAATAAATTTTTGCTGAACACGTCTGCGCTCGCCCACGCAGTGAATCGCTGTGTGAGCGTAACTTAACGAACGGCTTTTAGCTATTTACCATAAACATAAATAAATTTTCAATAAGTTTTTATCTAAATCAAACACGAGTTACGAGCGTAACGGCGGTGGAAGCGGCGGCAGTTAGTTTGTAGACTAAATTCTATTTTGATGATCACAACAAACTCTGTTATCGCCAAAAATATAAATGAAAACTTTTAATGTCAGAAGGAACGTGGATTTGGACAATGGAAAAAACGGTTTATGTATTGTTGTTCGGTTGTAAATATAGATAAGGCTCTTTGTTCGGATAGGGCTTTTATTCACAAAGGCTAATGACTCTTTTCTCCAAGAATTAAGACTGTTTCAAAGGTCGCGAGTTGAAGCGAAGAAGATGTATATTCGTTATTAGAACTGTGCGATAACGATAAGATATATTAAATAATTTATTGGTCTGGTGGCTTTCAACAAATCAACTCGCATTTCAGTACTTGCAAAATCAGTGTACTTTAAAGTAACATCTAGGATAACTTGTATTAGTATCATTAAATTAATTAAAGATTCTTAGAAATATACGAAAACAAATCAACATTCTCTTCTATAACTTTCATTTATGATAATTTGGGAACAATAACTTATAATGCAATATTTTTGTTAATTATTTTTTTAAATAAGTAATAGTAAAAATATAATTTTATTGATAATATAGATTAATATCAATGACTTATTATGAAACAAATTTCTACCAAATTTAAATCAATTCACATTTCAATATTTGCAAAATTTATTACGCCTTTTTCTTAAGCCTTCTAAATTTAAATTATTTATTGTACATATGAAGTTAATAAATAATGTAACTAAATTTATCAATTTTATTATAACTAAACATTTTCAGAACTAAATTTCTTTATAAATAATCGATTAATAAACTTTTATTTAAGTTTTTTTACAAAAAAAATGTTAATATTCAAATTACATACAAGAAATCAAGTAATATTTTAGTATATGCAATAATATTGCGAAAATAAACACTAAGAAAAAAAATTAACTTTGTTGATGATAATTTAAATTAATATATGGTGCTATATATTCATTAGATATTACTAAAAACACAAATAATTTTCTTGATGAAAATTTAAATTCATATCAATGAATATTGCGCTTAAAAAACTTAATTTAATTGAATTGGAATACATTGCAAAACTATAAATCTAAAAAGAATGTAACGAATAAACAAACTTTTCAGCATTTGCAATTTTTTTTTCATTAAATAAATTCACGATAAATTGGATTTATAATATATATATATGAAATTGGAATAATGAAATATAAAGCTTATATATTATATAAAAACAGGAAGACAGTGGAATTCCAACTTTTGGATATAAAGAAATGCACACATAGATAACGACAGTTATCGCACCAAATAAACAAATGAAAGATTATGATGGGAAAGATTACTACCACTTTTTTTAAGATAACAATGTGTACTTCATATTCTAAATATAAAATGCAGTTTATTTATCATTTAGTTTATATAAGAATTTTTAAGAACATTTCAGAATAACTATATATGAAGCAAGTACAGATATTTGAAGAAATATAAAATTGAAGTAAACATCGAATAGTGCGGGTGATTAGTTTTGTCAATACCTCGGACTGTTTGAAACAGGACTAATCGAGAAATTATATTAAATAGAAATAAACTGAACGAAAAGAGACTTGACTGTATTAAGCGAAAATAATGGCATTTTTATAGTAATATTTTAGAATTAATTTTTTTATTTTGCTCACTTCAAATTTAGTTTGCTTTGAAATTGTCGAAACCGGACTATAGTGAATCTGAACTGGTCGAAGCCGAACTAGGTTTTGTTGTATTATATTTTACGAACAAATATTTTAATTGGGCACAAATTACTAATTTTAATACTAAGTACCAAATAATAGTAACGTTAACAGATGTTATTACAAAATATACAATTATACAATGATTTAATTACATTGTTTTGGTAATTTTGTTACTTTAATTTTAACTATATAAACAATATTAATGCAATTCCAAAACTTATTTATTTTAATATCTAATTACTAGGAAAGTCTTAGTTTTATTTTCATTAACTAATATAATAACTTTTTGTAATACCGTCAATCAAATTTCCGACGTTCGAAATCTCGACGTTTGAAATGCCGACTGTATCGAAATCCCGACGTTCGAAATCGCGACTGTATTGAAATCTCGACAACTATAATCTCGACTGTATCAAAATCCCGACTATATCGAAAATGTCTACAATAACATTAATAAATTATTCCGGAGCGTAGTGACTTTTAAATTGTTATTAATAATAGATAATAACAATTAATAATTTAATTGCATCTGAGATTATTTCATAATGTTATGGTTTATTATGAATAATTCAACAAAATCAAATAAATTAATAATAATTTATTGTTACTAAAAATGTTATTGTAAAAATTTTCGATATAGTCGGGATTTAGAACGTCTTTTTAAATATTATTTTTTTATAAATGCATTCATTAATTTATTGAAAACTGTTAACTTAAATATATTAAATAAATGCTTTAAGAATAATCGATGAATTTAAAATAAAACCTGTCAAAATGACGTATAAAAATGAGAATCAATTAAATGTTTTTAAATAACAAATTTCCATATTTATTTAAATAATTAATACAACTCAATATTTCTTTATATTAAACTGAATGTAGATTGAACTTTAACATGTATTGTATTTTTTTTTCTTGATTTACAAAGAGATTTAGTAAATAGATAATAGATGGATCTATAATAATGTAATATAAAATGACATATAATTAATGCTAATTAATATAATTTAATTTATTATAATACACGTTTTTATATTATTTTGTATTTAAAGAAAAAAGAGAATCAAATACAGTGGAACCTCGTTTAATGAGTACCTCGAATAACGAGCGACGTTTCGCATAACGAGTGATGATGAGAAGAGAAATCCCGGATTGCGCGCCTACTACAAACTTGTCTACACATATTATATGTATTTTTGAATATGTTTCATTATACGAGTAAAAATCCGGAAATTTTGGAACGGATTAAACTCGTTAAACGAGGTTCCACTGTATTGTAATTATTAAAATGGAATATTGATTCATATAAAAGAGAATGCATTTGAGGTTGAACATGTGTTGAAGATTTTCTTAAATTGATTAACGATAAATATCGTATATACAATCTATCAAATATAACTGTCAAAATGACGTGTAATTATAATTAATGGTAATTAATATATTTCAATTAATTATAAGACACGATTTTAGATTATTTTATATTTAAAAAAAAAGAATCGTAAAAATTTACAATTATTAAATGTGATCAATTCATAAATATCCATATTTATGTAGTAAAGTTATCACAAATAAAGACTGTCAAATATACCTGTCAAAATGACGTATAATTAATACTTGTGATAATTAATATATTTCAATTAATTGTGATATTATTTTTTATTTAAAAAATTGAGAATCAAATAAATATTACATTAATTAGAACTTATTCATTTTAAAGTGAATTCAACCTTAAGAATATGTGCGTAGATGCTTTGTTATTTTTTCCATGATTTACAACGGATATGGATATGTTTGAGAGCGTTTATGTTGTTTGGTATGAGTAAAGTGCATTCGGTGGAGAGAGGCGCGATTCTTTTCTTAGAAATTGAAGGATCATTGCATTACACGCAATGCTATTATTCCGTTGGATATTATTATTATTATTATTTGCCTTCGCATAAAGCAAATTTGCATTTACATTTAGCTTCTCCCACGGCGAAAATAACGCAATGTTTCTTGATAATAGATAACCCAACATACATGAAATTTAAATTTATAATTTGCATCTGTCATAATTATATTATGTTTTTATATGATATTTCTATAACTACAAAAGCATAAATCGTATGGAATTTTAGTGAGTTTTGATAGAAATATTACATTTTTTTTATATTATAACTACGACGCTGTTTCTATTCCTAATTGGTGCTAAATATAACTTTTATGTATGATAATCTGACATCACTTGGAAGAAAATCCTTGACTTAATTGAATGTATTAAAAGTATAAACATGTTCAGCATCATCAATTATTAGAATTAAATTATTTAATTACAATCATAATATTTGGGCAGAATTATTTTTTTATTTGTTTATACAATTAGAAAAATTGTTAGTGATTAATTATATAAATTCATGATATAAATAATTTATTTTTTTAAGTTTACAGTGGAACTTCGCTTCACGAGTTTAATCTGTTCCAAAATTTCTGGATTTTTACTCGTATATGAAACAATTTTCCCCATACAAACTAATGTAATATACGATAATGCGTTCCATTTTGGAGTCATTTTTCTCACAATTTATTTTGCTCTTTAAGCGAAATGCTCGTTATGCGAGGTAACGAGCACCTCGCATAACGAGGTTCCACTGAAATAAGGTTTTAAATCTAAGTATTGTAAATATTTATTTAATTATATAAGTGAAAATAGAAGAAAAAATGAAAAATGACAAATTTGAAATGATGTATGCAAATATTATTTATAATTATATTTATTTCAACCTTTTTAATTTAAAAGACTAAAATTAGAACAAAATTATTGAATTAATAAACGCTAAATATTATTAAATTTTTCTAAAATGATGATTCAAATCAACTGAATGTGGAAAAATCTATTCATATTAAATTTTTCTTCACTTTAATTAAAATTTAATAAGCTGATATAGTTTATAAAAAATATTTCAATTTACTTAATGCACATAGTAATTTGATAAGTAAATGAATTGACATGCAATGAAATGTTTTCGTTTATGAAATTATGTATGTATAAAAAAATATGCATCACTAATATTAACACTTTGAATAAAAGATTAATAATTACATTATTTTAGTTTATGATACAAAAATAGATAGAAATAACTGAAGGGGTCAAAATGTTTTTTTTGTATATTTGATAATATATTAAGTAAATTAAAATAATAAATAAATATTTATAACTAAATATTTTTGCAAGGAATTAAATTAACACATTAATCAGTAAAAATCATGGTCAATTCAATTTTTTTTCTAAAAATTGTTGTTTTCCAGTTTCAAATTACAGAAAAAAAGTTGTTTTTTCCAATGTATTGTAATTAATAAATAAATGAAAAAAAAGTAATACATTTATTTAAAATAGTAGAAATTGTAGCAATATTATATATGTTTTAAATGTGCTGTAACCAATGTTTGTATAATAATTTCAATATAGAAATTTGTTCAGACTTCACACTTATTATAACAATTATACGTGTTACAGTAAGTAATAATAGTAGATATTTTACATATATACTTTGTCTTTGTCAAGAATGTATGCAAATTGCGTTATATTTTAACTTTGATTACGATTCCTTGATAGAAAATAAAGACAATTATGAAAAATAACCATTTTTTTGGGTAAAAGCCTAAGTAAAACAAGAAAAATGTTTGTATGTTAAAAACGTAATTGTCCTAGTATAAATTCCTAGAAATTACGTTTTATATATATGAGAATTAACTGAACAGTAAGACCTTGTTTAACGCTGATTCCATATATCGATACATATATTTACCATAAATTGATGTGACTTCGTTCAACACTGTTTCATTTAGCTTGAAATGCATCTTAAGCGTTAAACGAGGTCTTCCTGTATATTGTTATGATGATGTTATAATTGTACTCACTTATACAGTTTGGCAGTGGCAGTTGGTAATTCCATGAGTGTCCGAGGCATTTGAGTCGTTTTTCTCTTTGCAATGAATCGGGAAATGCGAATCCGACGCAGCACGTGAAGAGGACATCCGTGTCATTCCTATGCACTAGATATCCGTCAGCCGGGGAATTGGGCGTAGGACATCCTATAGCAGTGTAATGGAATAGAACGCCCCTCTTGGCTATGAGATTCTCCGTCGCTCTCAGATTGATCTCCAGCACGTCTCCAACAGAAACGATAACTGCAGGAGGTTCCTGCTCCAAGCAGGACACGAAAATCTTATTCTCGTACTCCTTCACCTCGAACACATCCAGACAACTTTCCGGGCTGTTCGACGTCCCTATAATTCGGATGAAGATGATGAATGTTTACCGTTTAGTGTTATTATCGGAATTACGTGCTTCGGAGGGTCGGATCTCTTACCTATTAGCGATAAATCTAATATTGTCAGCTTTATCTTCTGCATTGGAGGCGCGCTGATCCTCCATCTGCAGTCGTCTCCGCCCAGATAGAACTTGGGATAGCCGGGATTTCGGATAAATCCCTCGGACACCCCGAAGACCTCCGGCGATGGTAACGATATATTGTGGTTGCAGTATTTCGAAATCCTTCTATCTGTTTAAACACAAAGCAGACAGGATTTAAACTAAATGCTTCATTACAATGTACAATGTTCACATTCGCAATTGGTTTCGCTACTATTTGAAACCGGACTTATCGAGGACTCGAGACTTGCAGAGAAAACAAAATATTATGCTGAATTGAAGAAGTTATAGACAAATAAATAATTAAAATTAAATAGTTAACAATTTAAAAACGATAATATTTGGTTAAATCAGAAGATTTGTAACTTTCTGATTGAATCTATAATCGTTTCCATGAGTTATCGACAATCTCTGGACGTTTTTATGTTATACCATTATAGAAATATTTATGTCTCAGAATCTCTTGAAAGAAAACGTCTTGATTTATGATAGATTTACAGGCCAATGCACAAAATGAATATAAAAATCCACTTTAGAAAAGCAACTTTTTGAAAGTTTTTTTTTTACCAGATAGTACAACTAACTTTTATTTCACTCATATTACCACTTTTCTTTTACAATATACCAGTAGTTATTTAAGTTTGTTATATATGCAATATTAATTAATAAATATTAATTTTAGAAATATTTTGGAATTTCTTAAAAAAATGCGTATATTTATAATTATTTGCGAAACGTTGTAATAGAACAACGTTTCAAGATATGATGAGATGTAATGTATATCGCTAAGAAAGTTCCTCCACGTCTAAGAATGATCTTGTACGACTACAATTCTCGAGTTGAATTTTGTTTAGTTACATAAAGTGTAATTAATAAACTTCTAAGTTATTCTAATTACAAGTAGCATAGACATAAGTATACGAAAACTTTAGATTATATATAGATTTTAATTAAAACCGTTACCCAAATGTATAAGTTTAATTATATTTAATTAAAGTTCGTAGTTTTATAATTAGTAACATTATTGTCTTTATCTTAATTTTTGATCGCAAAGAACGAGCTTTTATTTAACGAGACAAATAAAGATAAGATAATTCACTAAATTTGCCCCTGTTTGTATGAAGCAAGAGAACAAATTTCAAAGTTATTTTAATTAGAGATAATTTAGATGTTAACTATACGATGTGGAATTTGATTAAAACATAAATCAATGCTGAAATTGAACGAGGACATCCCGAAATTAATTGAAAACGGATAATCGGCAAATGCAATTGTACAGCTGGTTGCCTAATTAAATATTGACCAAAATCGAAATTGTCGGAGTTAATTAGATCTGTTTGCACAGCGGCTTCAAATATCCTGTTTATCCATGGATTTATAATCCCGGCACGGCCGAAATTCCCCATTCGCACATAAAGCGATTAAGAGCAACAACAAAAAAACGTATAATAATACTATTGATCTTCGCAATTCCATTGATCGTGGTGATCGATGAATGGAGCAATTATATCGGCCGTGAAAGGTTTCAAATCTGACAGATTTGAAGAACGACCCGTACCATCATTGTTATTGCAACGGTTTCGTGCACCTTTTGAATTATCCCAAAAAAAGCATGATTTACTTCTGTATCGAAGTGTTAATATTTCGTTTCTTACGAGGTCAGACGTAATGGACTAAGAAAATAAATTGAAGTCTCTTGGGGGATCAGAGCTCGAAGAGTGTAGAATTACGATTTCGTGCTGCTTCTCCTCTTGCGCTCGATGTAATTCTGTTGTGAGCTTTGTTTATTTAATGACCTCTTCCTCCTTTCTTCCATTCCTATTTACGCTCGAAATGAAAGAGAATACGAATGATCCCGTCGAGTGCGCCGAGTTCGACCCAAAGCAGAAAATTATTCAAAGATTTTCTTATTCGCATTTACACAAAAGCTCATTTTTTTCCTTATAAAAATTGCATTTAAATTGTATTTTTATTCAAATTCCGCATTTCAAAAATAATTCCGTGCCACATATTTTCACAATAAAATGTGTATATCCATGTACATTTTTGCGTTATAAATTCATAAAGTGAATTCCGAATAGTAAATCTGTAGTTTTTGCTGTTGTTGTTGTTTGTCGTTTTTTGCTGTTCTGGGTCAACGATTTAATAAAAGATTTACCTGCAACGCAAGCGTATTTTATGGTGAAATTTCCGGGACCCCAACGATCCGCTCCCGGGCAATCCTTTATCAGGATGAAGCTGCAGTGGTTCACGCCCGAACACCTGGAAACATTGCAAAGAACGTGATTAAAAATGAAATACTGACAAATAATTAATTAATGATTGCAACCCCAATTCTCCCAGTCTCCCCAACTAAATTACTAATTTAGGTCACTGGGTCACCGCCAATGTATGTTTGTTTGAATAATTGAACGCAATATTAACGGGTTGCTAAGAGAACAAACATTACCTAGTAACACCAACATTCAAATGTTATTACATAGAGTTGTAAATACAATAATTATGTCTATTTTTAGCATATGAAATGTAATTTGCAGTGAATTATCTTAAATTGAACACACAAGGAAAAAGTGTCTTTATGTTTAATAAAAAGTCATTATATGAGAGCTGTCACAACAATTATTAACCTTTTGACATACAATGACTTGTTCCAGATGTCTAAAGTTTATTTTAAACATAATAACTAGTAACTTTTCAAATCTGTAACATTGTAAAGAAATAGTAATGTTTCTATAATTGTGTCTCAACATTGAATATTATGTCCAAAATTATATACTTGTCATTAAAATTTAAAATTACGAATTTATTTAAATATACAGTCATTCCTTATATAGTCCGGTTTCACTATAATAATTATATGAATTTCTAAGTTGCAAAAGTCAATGGTAATTATTTATCTTTAAAATATTTTTTTCTAGTTTACAATTTTTCATTAACTTTTTCGCACATTTAACTCAATTATCAAAAATATTTGCAAATTATTGTGTAAAATGACTACGGCAAAAGTTCGGCTTCGATCAGTCCTCATTCACTATAGTCCAGTCTGAACAAATTGGATTTAAATTAAGCAAAATTGTGTTTTCCCTTTATCAAGTCCCTTTTTATCATTTTATTTTTAGTTCATCGATTAGTCCGGTTTCAAACAGTCCGAGTTATTAGCGGAACCAATTATTCGGACTAAGCCAGATATATTAACTACATACTGTAATTAATTAGAATTACAGTCTCTGAGTTATTATAAAATTAGTACTTCTTCATCTTTTATGAATTATATCAATTTTAATTATGTTTTATATTCAAGTGATCCGGATCGATAGCGATTGTCAACTTTGTGGACAGTAAAAAAAATACATTTCAAGTGCACATGCATTGTTGACATCATGTCCATGGTATGAATTTACAAAGCAAACAAACGTACGACAAGTATTAATAAAATTTCATAATACCGAGAATTTCCGTTGTGAGCGTTTGCCAAAAATCAATGCTGTTTATATCCATCAAATTCAAGAACACTTCATATAGTTTATAAGTGTTCGAGCGGGCGTAAATATTTGTGGCAACAAAACACCCTTGTCGACAGTTTTCGGTAAACAACATTTCCGTACATTATTTTACATCTGGCGTATTATTTATATCACAACTAATATGATGTATAGAAAAAAAATAAGTCAGATACACATCAAAATCAATATGAAATTTATTCACTATATAGTTCTAGTAATAATTGACATATTTTGATTTTAATGTTTAGCAGATTGGAAATGATTGGACCGCATAAAAAAAATCGCACAAACATAAAATCGAAATAAGACAGATTCTACTGTACATATAAACTGAATCAAAATAGATGGAAGACAAGTTTATTATAATATAGAGACATACTTGAAGAATATAAAGTTAATTGAAACAACTTTTAATTAATTAATAACCAAAAACTGGAAATTTATATAAATGAGCAACAATTTTAGAAGATGTGAAACCATTTAAGATAACAATATTGTATTTTTATAAAGTAATAATAATTTAAAACACCGATACCTCGAATAGTCCGGTTCGCGTTTTGTTAAAACAATAACAATTATAGCAATACCTCGCATAGTCCGGGTAATCATTTCCACCGATATATCGAACTATTTGAAACCGGACTAATCAAGGAACTAAAAATAAACCGCACAATAAGAGACTTTACAGTATAAATGAAAAAAAGACAACCATTTATGTATAAAAATATTTTAGTGTAGTATTTTTTTAGAATATTGCTCAATTCAGTGCAATCCAAGCCTGTGTAAATTATTGTTTCGTTCAAAATTTGAAACATTATAATATCAAATCGAATCAACGATTCATTCAAACTGTCCGCACTTTTATAAGTAATGTAGAATTGGTGCGTGCTAATTAATAATTTGCATTTAACATGCGAGTAATTGTTTCCAGAAATTCCAGTTTAACACTTTGTCCGAGTGTGTTAACAAATAGTCGTAGACACGAGGGTCGCATGCATAATGCAATAATTCACACGGCAAGGGTGGAAAGGCAAGGCAAGGATCATAGAGGAAGGATACTTCTTCGATTCGGGGCCGCTGTGAAAATGTGGGACAAGGCGAATGGAGTTATGACTCAAATCAAACACTGCAGCAGCGTGCACGCCACTTCTGTAGATAGATCCAACTATTTTTCTATAGAGCAATAACAATTTACTGAAAGAGGTGATTTTTCATTCTAATATACTTGAATACAGTCTTTATGATCTAGCGTGTTATTTATCATAAAGTTTTGAAAACAGATTAATAATTTCCATGACATTCTAATACCCTCGAATTGTCAAAGAGTTTTGAAATAAGAATACCTCGTTTAGTCCAGTTTTCAAATTAATAAGATAACATTTATAATCAGTTCATTATTAATATAATAGTAATTAGTAATATTTAAATAATCATTATTTCTACTCATTGAAGTCCTGACTACGTGAGGAATTATTGTATTAGTCCAGAATCGAGAAATAACAATACCTCACTTAGTCCAGTTTTCTAATTAACAATATAATTATTGATAAATTAGTAATAAGTAAATGATAATAATTACTGCACATTGAATTCCGGACTATACGAAAATGTATTTTATAAGTCCAGAATCGAGAAATAATAATACCTCACTTAGTCCAGTTTTCTAATTAACAATATAATTATTAATAAATTAGTAATACGTAAATGATAATTATTTCTACATATTGAATTTCGGACCTCGCATAGTCTGGTTTTTCAAATTATTAATATAAAATTTATAATCAGTTCATTAGTTCATAATATATTAGTAATAGTTAAATGATCATTATTTAAACACATTGAATTCCGGATTATGCGAAGATTTAACAATACCTCACTTAGTCCAGTTTTCAAATTAACAATATAATTATTAATAAATTAGTAATACGTAAATGACAATTATTACTACATATTGAATTTCGGACTATGCGAAGATTTATTGTAGTAGTCCAAACTCCAGGATTAAAAATACCTCGCATAGTCCGGATTTTCTATAATTAGTTCATTATTAATATGTTAGTAATAGTTAAATGATCATTATTTAAACAAATTGAATTCCGGACTATGCGAGAATTTATAGTATAAAAATATTATTGCATACATTTATAAATGTAGAAATAAATTTTTTGACTTATGTATTTTCTTACATTATTTACGTTTCAATTGATTTATTCGTTTATGTAATAACTGCTTCAATAAACATTATTATGATTTATTTAAATTTAGTATTTATAAATGCTCGCATAGTCCGGATTCATATTGATATAATAACAATTATTTTTTGCTCGATTTATTTTTGTATGCATTTAGTTTCCTCGATTAGTCCGGTTTCAAACAGTCCGCGATATTGGCGGATCGTCATAAGAAAGGATTTTTTTTTGTTACAAACTGAACTTTTACAGAACAGAAGTTGGTTAAATTAAGTACTGCGATCAATAAACAAACTGTGTGCTGATTCTATTTATAAATCGAGGCGCAAAAAAAAAAATCCGTCATCGTTACATCATCAGAATGCGTTGTGATTGTTTGGCTCTATCGTTCCAATTGTGAAATGGAAATAGAAACACGGTGCTTAATGGAAATCGATGGAGAATAATCATTGCAATGTTATACACGTCGTTAAAGAATTCCTGCTTTACGACGGATATTGATTTATATACTTTGCGTTCTGATTTGGAACACGTGATTAATATTGCCCCCGGAACGTGCGGTAAGGCTCAAACAAAGTTCATCATATTTCCGTTGCATAGGTCAATAATAGAGCACTAACTCAATATAAAGCTCATTTCGTTGAGCGCCTATTTGCGATCCCAATCATCGACTTGTTTCCTTCATTCGCTTCATTGATTCCGAAAATGTTTGGTCTACCACAACTCAAGAACTGTATTTATTTCAGTAACTTTTATTATGTTACTTTATAATGTTAGTAAATTATTTTATGAGTAATCTTATATTCAACAGTTATCTTCAATCATAAAAATAGACTGTGATATCATGTAATTATAACTATTGTTATAAACATATTTGAAGAGTGACAGCACGATCTGTCACTTGTCATTTGAAGTTTGGTTAAACATGTCAAATACATGTGTCAATAAGATAAACTATCATATGATTTGCATGTAATAAAAAAAATCAATCTTCAACAAATAAAGTTTAAGTTATATAAAACAAGTTGATGATCATATTAAGAAAGAACAAAAAAAAGTTAAACATTGAAAATGATAAGCACGTATACGATATTTATATTGAGTAAGTTAAATTAAAAACTTTAACAATTTAAAATTCAAATGTCCCTGTAGTTTATGGGTTTCGTGCGTACCAGAAGCGAGACAGGCCGCAGAGTTATGGACCGTAAAGGATTTTATGATCATTGCGTGATAATTGGAGCGAGTTCAGGAGGCGTTTGCTTTTTTTTTTGCACAGTTTTCCAGCAATATTCGTTTAACCTTCCTTTATCGTGGGATTTGTATTAATAAAAACCAAATGGGAATCACGAACGATAATTATAGATAGACATGAGGCGACGATAACAATCGCATGAGTCAGAATGTGCTGAAAAATGCAAGTTTAAAAAAAAATTATTTGACATATTTAAACTGTCATTTGTCAGAAATATTGTGAACTTTAAATAAACAGTTTTTTTATTTCTAAATAAGAACGAGCAAAAGTCTTGTAGAAACACAATTTTCAACAACAATAGTGATAACATATTGACAA